CTAAATATATATTTATTTATTTATTTTTTAATTTTTAAGCAGTTAAACTTCAAGGGTTCTGACTTCCCTTTTAGATGTCGTCAAGTGTAAGCTGAGTGGATTCCAGTGGTCTCTAGAGTTGATCAGCTCAGCCGTCGATACTTTGCAAAGACTCTGTAGAGCATCTGCAGAGACAGCTGTGGAGGAGCAGGTATGCTGCAAACTCTCCTGGATATATTTGTCATTTATTTGTACTTAGTAGACATATTACTCTGATTTGAAGTTCGAGACGTGTTCTCTATAGAGAACCTGTAAGGATGGGTAGTCCTCAGCAGCTGTAAGTATAACAGAAGGAAACACTTGGTATGATAATCAGTTGACATTTCCCAAGAAGATCTTGGCTGCTAAAGACATCCAGTTCCCTTAGAAAGTCACCACCTTGGTGGAGAACTCTGCAAGGTTATCTTTCACTAAGCTGTAGGCTTGGTACTTGTGATAGCTCTGCATACCCTCCTCCTTCACACCCACCCTCATTTCAAGAATGCTCCATAGATGATCTTCCACCTGGTCGGGGGTTCCCTCCAGACCAGAAGATTTCTGATCATTTGATAAGTCATAATCCTGGAGAATGCCTGTCCTGTTACTATAAGGCTATATTACTCTAACATCCCTTGTTGTATCATGTCCACAAAGCTGCCCAGAGCCAGCAGCTAATGTTTTATATGGATGCATTAACAAAAGTCTAAACCAGTGTTTTGTGTGAGATAGAGGGTTACTTTAACTCCCTAAAAAGTATCCATATCAGTATCTCTAATAAATTATTTTATTACCATATGCTCTGTTTTTATAGTGAAATATACTCCCAGATAGTGCTAATCATGATGGAAAATTTCAGGACTAGGGGTTATTAATAATGATTCTAAAAGTCAAAAATTAATTTAAATAATTGCCAGATATACTCAAGTTTTCCAGAATAAAGAAGTATTGCTTCATCTGAGCTCCTAGCTACTTTCCTATGCTTTCTTATCTGGCATAAGTTCCTTAAAGATAGTTCTCCCTTGATCGAGTGGCATGTCTACTTGTAGTAATAGATATCACACAATATATTGTAACTTTCTTTGCTTAGGACTTAGAATAGGTTGGGATTTACTTAGCTGAAAGTGCCCAGCTCTTCCCAGTAGACAGGTCTGGTTTTCCTGAGGTATACCTCTTGGAACTTTTTTGGTGAAAAGTATACCTGCTTTATTTGATATTTTTCTTCTAACTGTCATCTCTGGATCCCAGAATGTATATGAAAAACTTTTAAATAAGGAACATTACCTGTGTAGGGAGCACATTTGAATAGCAGAAAGCTGTAATAACAAAAAGCTGATGATGAGGAAAGAATGATGAAGGGAAAAAATGGGGAAAAACTTATATGACACATTATGAAACTATTACCCTGCAAGTTACTGTGGCACACAGCTTATTAATGGCAGTGCTATGCCTGGAACTAAGGTCACTGAATCCCTTCCTAGTGGTATTTTTAGTGTGTATGTGTTTTGTTACCAGCCCTGTCTGGAAGAAGAATGATCTGTGGTGTGGGCAGTGAGGGCCATAAGTCATCAGCTGCTTGCTAATGTCCCACAGTCATTCTAACAGCAAGTCTTACCATTGTTAGAGTCTGTGAGGCAGACAGATTTGTCTTCATATTTAGAAACTGAGAACTAGATGAAAAATAGAACTTATTACTGTGTTAGAAAAAGGGCCAAGGGCCCGGTTGGCATGGCTCGGTGTTTGAGCATTGACTTGTGATCCTGGAGATCACGGTTCGATTCCCAGGCAGGGCACATGCTCAAGTTGCAGGCTTAATTCCCTGTGGAGGGCATGCTGGAGGCAGCCAATCAGTGACTCCTCGTCATTGATGTTTCTCTCTCTCTCTCTCCCTGTCCCTTCCTCTCTCTGAAAACAATAAAAACATTTTAAAAAGAAAAAGGGCCAAGGTTTTAGCTCTGCCAACACCACCTTTCTTGGAGGTAGACAGTGGACTGAGGACCTGAGATTTTCCAGAATCTTAGGATGGTTTAAATCCATATGACATGTTTGTTTCCTCTAAACACCTCTTTTTCTTCTCTTTGTAAATGAACATTTTGTATTTTACTGAGAAAACATTATAGATGGTCAGGATATAGCTCAACAGCAGTGCATGTGAAAAGATGAGGTCTTTGGGCATTTTTGCAGTCTGTAAGCTTGGTATGAGTTAATAGTGTTTGTGCCTATCTCTGAAAAAAATGTATGAGATCTTGGGTTGTATTAATAGAATAAGAGGGGTGATGGTCCTGCTCTTTGTATCGGTTAACTTTAAGTTGACATGTTATATAATTCAGTTTCAATGACACCTCTTCAGAGAAATGTTGATAAAACTGAATACATCCATAGGAGAGTAATTAGGTGGGATTACAAGCAGGTTGTATGAAGAGCAGATGAAGGACCTGGGGTGTTTAACTAGAGAAGGGAAGAATTAGGTAGGATAGGGTGCCTAGCTAAATTCAAATATGTGAACGACTTTCAAATGAAAGAAGAATTGGATTTATGTGTCATCAAAGATTTGGAACACTGGATGAAAATTGCAAGGAGACAGATTTTGGCCAACTGAAGAAAAACCATACTGAGGTCTGCTTGAAATGGAGAGACTTGCCTCAGAACAAGTCTCTCTCTGGTCATTGGAGGTGTTCACGGAGCAGCTGGACAACTTGACATGAGTCCCTGTGTGGAGACAATCCCAGGACTGGGTGGCCTTGATGGTTCTCTCCCACATTCTGTGGTTCCAAAAGTTATTAGTTCCCAGCCAAGTTCTAGGCTTGAGGTCTCAAATTAGCCTCTGTGTTCTCAACAGGTTAGAGCACATGGATTCCAGAAGCTCTCTTGGGCAGCATTACAGCCCAGGTTGGCAATCTGTCTTTAAAAAGTAATAAAGATAATAGTTTTGAAACATTTTAGGCCGAGTCAGATTTAAAAACACTTGTATCAAGGAGGATCCAAGATGGTGGCAGAGTAGGTAGACATTACACTCACCTCCTCCCAGGACCACACCAGAACTGTAACTAAATTATGGAACAATCAACCTGAATAGCCTACTGAAGACTAGCTGAACCATTGATTAACAGAAGAAGGCACATTGAGACTAGTAGGAAGGGCAGAGGTGCGAAAAGGCCTGGGCCCGCATGCACATGAATCAGGAGGGATTTCTTAGCTGCAAAGTTACCTGGAGGAGTGAGGGGTCTCAAGCTCTCCAGCCTGGAGCACCAGTGCCTGGAAAAGGACTCTGCGTAACATCTAGCGTACTGGAGTCCTAGGGGAGAGACTAGGTGGTGTGACTTTGAGGAGAGCCAAAGACAGCCACCATTGTTCCTGTGCTGAGTCCTCTCCCACATCACCCACAGACACCGTCTTTCCTGGTCGAGCACTTGCCACATCAGCTTTGGGGGGATGCACCAGCCCCATCCTCCTGCCTCTCTGTGGCCCTGCCTTGTCTAGCTCGTGGTCTGTGAAGGAGTCTGCTGGCCACACCAGCCTAGACCTGTGTGGTACAGACTTTTCTTGGGAGGTTCTTGAGGAGGTCCATTTTCCCCTGCATACCCTGACCGTTGCCACTGTTCCTGTGTAGAGCACCCCCCCTCCACACAACCAAATCTTAATTGCGTTTAGCGTGATGAACTCTACTGGCCTCACCCTGGTGACCCCGAGACCCTGCCTTAACACAGAGGTTCACGTGCCCCAGGCAGGCGGCAGCTGGCCTTGGTGTACCCTGAGAACTTTGCTGAGTCAGCACTGGCTCCAAGTTTAAATCTGTTAACGTGGTGATCACCACTCACCCTGCCTGGTGACTCACTGAGAACGTACCACGCAACTCAAGTACCACTAGAGCCTAACAGGCTGGTGCAGGTGGTTCTTTGGGTGCCTTGGGACTTTTGATCACCTGCCCCCAGCCTCATTGCTGGTGGAAGCCAGCCTTGATACACAGCTCATCCATCCCATGCACACCCAGATCCAGCAGATGCATCCACAAACTTTGGATCACTTTGTAACTCCTAACAGGCAGCCCAGAGCCAGTAACAGGCACCGTCAGACATTGATCTGCACTGGAGGCCCTCCCCAGAGGCACCAGAGCCAACACACCCGGTGACAGGTTCAGACAACATCAGAGCAGGACCAGATTAGTTCCACAAGTGGCATGTTGAAAAGGAGATCTCAGCAGGCACCAGACCCTGATGAGGCAAATTCTGCATTGTGTGGTCAGCACCTACACAGCACCTCGGGTGAGGGTCAACCCCACGCACAGACAGGCCAACAGCAATCAAGACTCATTGGCAATAGGATGGCACACAAAACCCACACAAGGGACATTCTTGGAGCACCTAGCTCAGGTGATCAGGGAGACTGCATTGAGCTCCACAGAACACCTACTACATTAGGCCACCCTACCAAGACTAGGAGACATAGCACATTGACCTAATACACAGAAACAAATACAGAGAAGTAGCCAAAATGGGGAGACAAAGAAACATGCCCCAAATGAAAGAACAGGAGAAATGCCCAGAAAAAGAATTGAGTTAAATGGAGGCAATCTACCAGATACAGAGTTTAAATCATGGTTATAAGGATGACCAAGGAACTTAGGGGATGGTCAAACTACAAGGCCGTAGTAATCAAAACAGCATGGTACAAGCGTGAAAACAAGATACATAGATCATTGGAACAGAATAGACAGCCCAGAAATAAATCCACACCTGTATGGCCAATTAATATATGACAAAGGAGGCAAGAACATACAATAGGGTAAAGGCAGCCTATTCAATAAATGGTATTGGGAAAACTGGAAAGATACATGCAAAATACATGAAATGAGATTACCTTCTTACACCATATAGAAGAATAAACCCAAAAGGGATTAAATACCAAATGTAAGATTCAAATTTATAAAACTCCGAGAAGAAAACATAGGCAGCAAAATCTCTCTTAGCAGTCCCCCCCCCCCGATAT